ACTACAGGCGCCCGCCACAATGCCTGGCCATTTTTTGGTTGCAGCCATCATTGTTGTTTGGCGGGCCTGGGCTGGGGATTCAAACCTGCCACCTTAGGTGTATGTGGCTGGCGCCTTAGAGCCACTTGAGCCACAAGCGCCGAGCTGAAAATGTTACTTTTTCAAGACAGCAATTTTCATAAATTTTTTAAAAATATGAATAGAGAAGACATCTGAAAATTCTGAGATCAGAAAATTTACCAACTTTTCTTTCATGGAAACATAGCAGTAAATGCATAAAGCAAAAAAAAATGTTTTGTTAATATGTAAAACAAAAAAAATCTTACTGCTTTCCATTTTTATAATTTGGGGGGTTCTGTATACTAATTGTTTGGATTTTTTAAATTTCAGATTATTATGAGGGTATACAGGATAAAGTTACATTGTATTTGTAAGGTAAAGTCCAAGTAGCTGTTTCCTTCACCCAGGAAGTGTGTTGTAATCCCTAAATATTTGGTGGGGGGGATATTTTCTTCTAGGAACTTGACCAAAGTGCCACTGAAAAAGTCCAGGCAATGTTCACAGCCATTGATGAGCTCTTATATGAACAGAAATTGAGTATGCATACAAAGATTCTACAAGAAGAGTGCCAACAGTGGACAGCTAGCTTTCCCCACCTCAGGTATCGAAACCCTACAGTTGACTTGTACTCATGACTGATGTAAAATTTAAGATGTTGACTTCAAAAAAGCTTGTTTTCTAAAACTTTTATGGGTATGATTTTAATGAATCATGTGGTATAAATCCTCAGTTGAAAGAAACCTCAAGTTGGTAGAAGTTCCATAAGTAGCTTGTATTCCATTAGTAATATGTCACCCTAATTGAGTAAAACAATTTCCTTCTTTTTTTTTTTTTTTGTACGAAAGGTCTTTATTGGTGGGGAGAGGGAGGCTGCAGAGCAGCACCGAGGAGGAGAGAAAAGAGAAGAGAAAAGAGGGGAGAGAGATAAGGAGAGAGTGGGAAAGAGAAGAGAGAGAGTAGAGTAGAGAAGAGCGAGGGGGAAGAGGTGGGAAAGAGAGAGAGCAGAGAAGAAAGGCAGAGAGAGGCGGGAGAGAGAGAGAGTGAGTAAAACAATTTCTATACCAGTAGCTGAGGTCTGGGTGTCACGGTTGTCCAAAGACCCCTTCTTTTGAACAAGATGGTCAGAAAATATATTTGTTTCCATTGTTGTCTATAATTAAATTCTTGAAAGTAGACATAGGCTGTTCAGGAGCTTCCCTCAGAAAGCACAATATTACTGCTTACTTAAAATTCATCAAGCTTCACGTCTGTAAGAATATAATGCGTAGTTTTCACTAATTTGCCTGGGCTTTAATCCTGTTTTGGCTAATGTAATGAGGATTTTTTTTTTTTTTTTGAGACAGAGTCTCACTATGTCACCCTTGGTAGAGTGCCATGGTGTCATAGTTCACAGTAACCTCCAACCCTTTGGCTTAAGCAATTCTCTTCCCTTAGTCTCCCAAGTAGCTGGGACTTGGTGCCTGCTCAAAGACAGGCGCCTGCCACCACATCTCGCTTTTTAAAATTTTTTTATTTTTTTGCAGTTTTTGTCCAGGGCTGGGTTTTAACCCGCCGCCTCCAGCATATGGGGCTGACGCCCTACTCCTTGAGCCACAGGCACTGCCCATGCCTGGCTATTTTTTTGTTGTTGTAGTTGTCATTGTTATTTGTCAGGCCCAGGCCAGGTTCGAACCCACCAACCCTGGTGTATGTGGCTGGCGCCCTAGCCTCTGAGCTACAGGTGCTGAGCCTGTAATGAGGATTACTGTAGGGGATAAAGGGCAAATTAGAAACATTTACTCAGTTTCCTTGGATTTTTTAAAATTCCTGGGCTATATGTTTACTTTTATTTCTCTGGAAGAGAAATATACCTATAGTAAGGCTCTGGATTCACATTTTCTCTCGAGAATTATTCTTCCCCTTTTTTTCCATAAAGAACCCACAGTTCAGTTTTATTCAGAGCAAAGAAAAAAGAAACTTTCCACCTCCTGGTGCTTACCACAGGCTGTTTTCTTACACTGACTTATAGAAAGAGGAGGCAGAGAAAACCTACCCTATGTACACCCCAGCCCAGGCCCCATGCCTGGTCTGTATTGTGAATGGGGGAACATGGAGTTGAGGGAAAAAAAATCTTTTGATCATACTAGAAGAAAGTCAGCCATAGGCTTGGAATCTATACTCAATCTATACATGCAGTGAGGAAAATATTCTGCTAATACAGACTTGCTACTGCATTTGTCTACTTTTTATCTAACATTAACAATTATCAATAGCAGTGCAAATAGTGTTTGGAATAACCTAACAGTGTTACGGTGTCAGACACAGTTTCACTGCTTTCCACAACACTGGTTCTCTTTGTGTGCTTGGGCTTCCTATTCTTCAGTAAAGTTGTTTTTGACATTGAAGGTCTTGCAGAGCTCCTTGGTTTTCCCTCTATCATATTGGCAGTAATTCAAGAATCATTTTTTTTTAATTGACACAGAATCTCACTTTGTCACCCTCAGTAGAGTGCTGTGGCGTCATAGCTCACAGCAACCTCAAACTCTTGGGCTCAAGTGATTCTCTTGCCTCAGCCTCCCTAGTAGCTGGGACTACAGGTGCATGCCACAATGCCCAGCTATTTCATTCTTAATTAATATCAGACTAATTATGTCCTGAACTTCTATGTAGAACCATAAAATTTGGTTCAAAAATACAGATTTTATATGTATAGCCAGATGGAGATGCTTGACTTGTGTGTTTCGTTATTTTGAAGGATTCTAGGTAGGCAGATAATTGCGCCAAGTGAAGATGATGGATTTTATCCTAGATCTCCTACTGTTTCAGCTTCATATGAAGCACCCTTGTCTCAAGAAAGAGATTCTACTATGTAAGTATTCTGTTACATTTCAGTATCCTAATATGTAAATATTATATCCTACCAGTTTTATTAAGGGATTAGAATACTTCTTCTAACTTAATTGGTATTTTGTAAAGAACAGCAAATTCTGTAAGATTGGCTGTAGTCTTTGTGTATATTAAAAAAATGTTTTTTTGTACAAAAGAAATAGTCTGTTTTCTGTTGCTTTTAACAGAATACCTGAAACAGGGTAATTGATAAAGAAAAGGAATTTATTTCTTACAGTTCTGGAGAGTCTGAAGCTGAGAGACAGTGTCTGGTGGGGCCTTCTTGCCGATGGAGACTCTCCACAGACTTCCAAGGCAACACATCAAATCACATGGCAGGGGCTGAGAGTGCTAATGTGTTAAGTCAGGTCTCTTTTCCTCTTACAATCCGCCAGTTCTTCTCCCTTGATAACCCATTATTCCAGTAATCAGTAAATGGATTAATCCATTCATGAAGGCAGAGCCCACATGTCCAATCACCTCCTAAAGTCCTCACCTCAATTCTCCAGGTTAAATCATATTTTTTGAAAAAATTAGTCCTGGGCATGGTAGCTAACCCTGTAATTCTAACACTTTGGGAGGCTGAGGCCAGGAGTTCAAGACCAGCCTGAGTAAAAGAGAATTGCCATTTCTACAAAAAAATAGAAAAATTAGCTGGGGATGGTGGTGTACTCTTGTACTCCTGGCTGCTTGGGTGGCTGAGGCAGGAGGATGGCTTGAGCCTAGGAGTTTGAGGCTACAGTGAGTTGTGACAACATTTTACATTATAGCTGGGGTGACAAAGCAAGACCTTGTCTCAAAAAAATAAAAAATAAAAATTTATTGTTGATCCTTTCTGTCTCCCACTAAAAACCTTTGAATAGCTTCCCACCGAATTTAAGATAAAAATCTAAAATGATATCATTAACTGTCCCCTGCTTACTTCTCTACCTCGTGTCACTCTTTCTTTCATTCATTAATTCTCCAGCACTGGCTTTCTTTCAGGTCTCACATGTACTAAACTAGGTATTTGGTTCAGTTCTTGAGGAGTTCTTGGACCATAGGAAAGTGGTACAATAAGCAACACAATAATACATATATTATATATTAATATACAATGTAGTAGTGTCGTCACAACTCACTGCAGCCTCAAACTCCTGGGCTCAAGCCATCCTCCTGCCTCAGCCACCCATGCAGCCAGGAGTACAGGAGTACACCACCATCCCCAGCTAATTTTTCTATTTTTTTTTTGTAGAAATGGCAGTTCTCTTTTACTCAGGCTGGTCTTGAACTCTTGGCCTCAGCCTCCCAAGTAATTGTATTGTATCTCTAATACCTAGCACAGAGCCTAGAAGATGAATAGCATTCAATTTTCTTTTTTTTTAGACAGTCTCACTCTGATGCCTGAGTAGAGTGCCCTGGGGTCATAGTTCATAGCAACCTCAAACTCTTAGGCTCAAGAGTAACTGGGACTCTTGCCTCAGCCTCCTGAGTAACTGGGACTATGGATGCCTAGCTAGTTTTTTTATTTTCAGTAGAGACAGGGTTTCTCTCTTGCTCAGGCTGCTCTCAAACTCCTGAGCTTAGGCAATCTGCTCACCTTGGCCTCCTAGAGTGCTAGGATTATAAGCCTGAGCCACTGCGCCTGATCCAACTTTCTTTCTTCTTTTCTTTTTTACTAAATAAAAAGCAGACAATATTTACGTTATACACCAAAATGAATTAATGTATAAATTGAAGTTATGGTTGCAAAACAGAGTTATCAATCAAAAAAAAAAATGAGTGTCTAGGTCAAAATGAAATTCCAGGAATTTAATAGAAGATGGAGAGTCTGTACCAGCTTATTCCAGGTGTGTTTGGGCCTGGATATTTGTTTGAGCTGCTGCTGCTGCAATTAGTGAGATTGCCCAGGTCTAGAGTGTGGAAGTCTTCTGTGGCCATGAGGATGTCACTGTGCCTAAAGCACCAAAGGGAAAAAGTGCAGGATGGGGAAAAAAAGTCCATCTATCCATGCAGTAGGAAAAAAGCCATCTATCTATATAGTAGAAAAACAGCTGAAATTATGAGAGGCCTCCAAATTAGAAAAGGGGAAAATTGAAGAATGAGAAGGGCTTGCATCTCTACCTTATTGGTGAAAATCTTTAGTGGTTTCAAAATCATCTTGGTCCTCCCCAAAGTGAGATATTCAAAGAAAAATCCTTGTGAATTAACTGAAATGTATTTAAAATAGAAGTGATCTGCAAAAACTGTTTCATCTGAATTTTGGAGGTGGGGAGTAATATGTGTGAAGGTAAAAAATGTTTCAACTTTTTTCCCCATGTGTCTTTAGAATTATGTAATGTCACATTTTGGGAAATAGACACTAACCTGCTTTTTAAAAGGTTTCTGGGGCCGCGCCTGTGGCTCAAGCGGCTAAAGCACCAGCCACGTACACCTGAGCTGGAGGGTTTGAATCCAGCCTGGGTCCGCCAAACAACGACAGCTGCAACCAAAAAAACATAGCCGGGTGTTGTGGCAGGTGCCTATAGTCCCAGCTACTTGGGAGGTGGAGG